AGATAACAAAGCAATAAAAAACCAAAAACAAACTGCACTGAAGAAAGTTTCATGACAGACCAGGATAATTAATTACAAACTTCAAGAAGATAAACAGGTATAGTCCGTTGGAAGAAGCCAACCAAGATAAACCTCATCCAGAAATAAAACACTCTTTGTTTCCAGTGTTTTCTAGCACACAGAAAAACTCTTATGTAGTTGTCACACCTGCATCCCATGAAGAGGATCAAGGCCCTCTCCTCCTGAGTAGACCACATCTTTCCCTTATCCTCTCTTCCCTGCATGCCCTAGGATGGATAGAGGATGGGCCTGGGGCCTCCTCTGCTTGCTCAGCCAGCCTCTGCCCTTCCCCAGCCTCTTCCACAACTTCTGGAGCCACCCTTCCACTCCCTGTTGGCTGTTCCTCCTCCCCCTCAGAGTCAGTCTCCACCAGGGACATGGCAGGTGGCGAGAAGCACCTCTATAGTATAACTGAAGACTCCCCTTTTTTTCAGCATTGGATGTCTTTTTTTCTTCTTCCCAAGATTAGAGAGGCTTATGAAGTGAAATAAATTGAGCTCAGCTAACTGACAGAAAACACATCTTTATTAAGCCCCTAAAATGGAAAGATAATACCAAATTATTTCATGCCTCTGTAGTGGAGATGTTAATGAAAGGTCCATTTGTCTATTCAGTGTCTTCTCCTTCAAAGATCTAGTATATGAACGGCATGGGGCAGAGGTGGAATTCAGCAGGTTCTGACCAGTTCTGGAGAACTGGTAGTGGAAATTTTGAGTAGTATGGAGAACCAGCAAATCCCACCTCTGACTGCCTCCAGCCCCATCTATTATCTGCCTCCCGAGTCCCAGCTGATCATCTGGGTCTTCTTTTGTTGCCCTGCACAGGAGAACGGAGATGGAAAGCAGATTAGTGGGGTGGGGAGGGAATGGAGATTTTGCAGTAACCTTCCCCCAGGAGTGAATGGGGATTTTGCAGTAACCTTCCCCCAGGAGTGGGGAGGGAATTATTTACTTACATACATTTTTTATTTTCAATGTATTTTTTATCATAGAAAATAAAATGCAGAACAGTAAAACTAACAAACTGAAACAAAACAAAAACATGCATTTAACATTCAACCCTAACAATAACATCAACAAAGAAGAAAAATAGCTTAGAAAATTGGAAGAAAAAGTGGTCCATTAAATTTAACATTTAACACATAGGATGCAACCTGGCTGTGTACTGAAAGAAAAGAAAAAGCAATAAATTATCCTTCCCTTTTACACACACAAGAGACAGACAGACAGACAGACAGATCGACAGATAGATCATGTCATCCCTAGTCCTTATTTTCATTAAACTAGACATTTCCAACTCCAGCGATCATTCTTTATATGGTTCTTAAGAAGGGAGGGAGGGAGGGAGAGAGGGAGGGAGGAAGGAAGGAAGGAAGGAAGGAAGGAAGGAAGGAAGGAAGGAAGG